TGAACTGTGTTGCACTCTGCATAAGGAAACACAAACGTGGGAAGCATCACCCCGTAAATGCACACGTGACTGTTTTGTTGTGACGGGATAGTTTCAGGTGTAACAGCAGTGCTCGCCTCGTTCCATTCATCAAGGTAAAATCACCTTGGGTTCAACCGATACCTGCTGTCTATTTCAGGACCCAACCGGCCAATTCTGTGTGTGACGTGGACACGTGGATGGATGTGTGGATGCCCATCAAATTTACGCCCTCGATCTAAGGCAGCCTGCTTTGGTTAACACAACCCTTGTTGTTGACTTCACAGCAAAGAAATACTATAACCGGCAAAGCATTCTCACTCTTTTTTCGGTAAAGTCACGTAGGTAAAAAATAAAATAAATGAAAACAACTAAATTAAATCACGACGTCCTTTATTTTTTACCTACGTGACTTTACCGAAAAAAACAAAGAGTATGAACCCTTGCAATCACTAAAGCCTCAAATCTAGAAAGCATTCTCAGTTTAACACGTAGGCTTTCGCCACCAATATTCACCATAAGGGGTTTTTTTGGGTTAGATTGCGTAAATATGAATGTATCATTAAACCTGACACAGCTAATTCTTTGCTAGCCTGATGATGTGAGTTGTAATTACTGGTGAAACGTCATCGTCGAATTGTAAATGTTGTGAGTTTACTCTCCAACACACTGGTGTGCTGTACTAGTAACGAATTGGCATGTTTTGTTCACGTGACAAACATTACTAATTAATACCTGTTACCCGTATTCTTGTACAGGGAATTTTAGTTTTCAGGTCCATACGGTGCACATCCGTTTCAATATGGGCAAAAAACTAATTTTTTGCCGATTTGTTTGTGTTTCTCCATTGTGATGGGACGTTGTAGGATGAACGTTGAGATTTATAAGGGCACAAAGTGACCAATAAGGTCTTAATTGGTCTGTAATAAGGTAGGCACTGATAAGGGATTGACAGGTATGCCAATTGGCTGTGTCGGGTGGTGGCAGGTTTAACGACACATTTATATTTACGTGATCCAACCCAAAAGACCTCTTATGGAAAACATTCTCAATCTGCAGGAGCTGCCCTCTCTCTTGGGCAGGTAATTGTCACTAAATGGAAGAAAAAAAGTTAATTAAATTCATGTGCACGTACAAATTGAGATTCTTTTGTTGGGGTTTCCTTTGAACATCCTATGAAATGTAATTTTTGTATGCAATATCACCCTTTGATGTTTAAATAATATGCAATTTTATCACACGCGAGGTGTGCTTGAAGGATTTGTGAACTTAAGCTGCAACGGGCTTGAAAGTGGAGATCAAGTTCTCGTTTGAATTTGTATTCATAAGAACCCAAAGTGACAAACGATGCCTCATTGCTCTAGATACAGGTTTGCAATACAGTACTGTATGTAGTAACCAACTTCACGACATGTTGATATTTCAATTGGATCCGTGTCCCCAATAAACATGCAACGCTAAGCCAACGCTGGCATATTGTTGGAACCCTTGACCCCAACGTTCCATGTTTACCGAGGTCTCCATAGGAAAAATCCCATTCAACTGTGCAAATACAGTCGTCACATATTAACGTCTATACTTAGAGCATCAAGAGTGCTGTGCTGTACCGCATTTCTGCAATGTGGAAAGGCACAAAAATCACGTTGCCTCTGGGCAGCATAGTTATGCGTGTTGCCGCTGCAGTAGTGTGCTGGAGTTAATATCATAATCCAGGCACATGTATCCTCATCAGCATAATTTAACAGGATTAGGCAGTATGAAGCCAAGTGCTGTAAATGCTGCATATTAATCCTCAACAGGCTTGGCGTGAAATCATCACATAAACAAGCAATTGCTCTGTTGAAAGTTAAGAGTGTTTTCCTAAAATATTAACACTACAAGTTTGGGTGACTTTGGTACATGGCTTTAAGCCAAGGACCAACCACGGTGGCGTCAAAAGAGTGTTTGTACGAGCTTGTTTTTAAAAGGATTTTAAAAGCCATTTAAAAACTCTGGCAAAAGAAAAACCCACGTTAGAAGACACCTATTGCTGGTGTGTGTGTGCGTTGTTGATGTTTGTTGAACTCAGCGAGGCATGCATTAGGAAAAGGGTGGCACGTGGTCGTTGCAATGTATTTACCAAGCGAAGCTGTGAAAGATGCAAACACCGTATTTAAGTTTCACTAAAAACTCTACGCATTTCGTAAACAGCACCGCCTTCAATGGGAATATAACCAGTCAACGTTTCAGGCAATGCCCTTCTTCATAGCAATTGCCCAAAATGTCACCTGTTATAAATGTTACCGTTTACGGCTGTGTTATTTACGAATGTGTTGATGTTTTCTTGGATATTATGTGTGCGTGTGCACCACTGTCACTCGCAGCACCATCACCCACACAATTTTTCGTTTATTTGTACAATGCTGAATCGAGTACAGCACTACACAATGCAATTCTAACTACCGTGCAGTAACAATTTGCAGCCGCTTGTCAATCCACTGCTGGATGAAGGCCTCCCCACGCAAATATTGAATCACACTTGAACCACAGTGGCCATCTGCGGGGTTGGCAGGTCACCGGTCCACAACCAGACATAGCATGAAATATGTACCACACATGTAATGTATAGGTACCGTGCTGTGTTTAAAAATGTGGAAATGCCAAAACAATCGCATTCTGCAGGGCTCCCAGCGGGTTTCCGAATGTAATTTCGTTCATATGCATGATTAATACGCACGCTGTCTGCTATTTCAAAGGGTGTGCTGTTGGAATATCTTTAATGTCCAAACAGCGGATTTCACATGCCCTCCACCCTGGAAGAGGGCTCAAGCTGCTGACCGCTCAACAAAACCAACATCCGCCCCCCCACCAACTTTGATTGAGCAACCCGGGTAGCAACCTTTGGAAGTGACAGCCATCACTCCAGAGCCAAGCCAACAATCACTCGAGGTCACGAAACACACGCCACTCGTTCTCTTGTACCAGCCGACCCGTGGTATATAGACAGCGGTAACCCCGTCACATTAGCAAGAGTGGCACAAGTGGGGAAAGCGTTGGGGGGGGGGGGGCGCAGAGCACAGGCATCAATGATGATGCATTATCACAATAATGCCCCCTAAAATATCCCAACAGCTGCACCAGCAATAGGTGTCTTCTAACGTGGCTCTGGGGTCTGGCACAGCTGTCGCTTGTCCACGCCTCCCCTCCGCCCGGTGGGCACAACAACTGGGCACGCACGGGCAGCTGAGGAGGCTATTTCAGGCCACACGTGGCCACAACGGGCCGGAGTGGGTGGCCACCGTGGGGGCCACAACGGGCCGGAGTGGGTGCCCACCGTGGTGGCCACAACGGTCGGAGTGGGTGCCCACCGTGATGACCACAACGGTCAGAGTGGGTGGTCACCATGGGGGCCACAACGGGCCGGAGTGGGTGCCCACCGTGGTGACCACAACGGGCCAGAGTGGGTGGCCACCGTAGTGGCCACAACGGTCAGAGTGGGTGGCCACACGTGGTGGCCACAACGGTCAGAGTGGGTGCCCACCGTGGTGGCCACAACGGTCAGTGGGTGGCAACACGTGGTGGCCACAACGGTCAGAGTAGGTGGCCACCGTGGTGGCCACAACGGTCAGAGTGGGTGGCCACCGTGGTGGCCACAACGGGCGGAGTGGGTGGCCACACGTGGTGGCCACCACGACATTCGTCGAAGCAAAAAAAGCCACGGCGATGGGTGCCACGTCGTGGCCCAAAGCTGCCCACGGTAAAACTGCCTCTTCGCAGTCGTTGGGGAGGGGGGTGGACATGGCTCTGGCTCACCGTAAATTAACTGCGATGATGATGACGGTGGTGGTGGTGATGGTGGTAATTATTGTGACAAATAAAAGTGGTCAGTCAGAACTTGTGTAGTGACGTCTCGTTGCACGCTTATGGTCAAACCAAGGCAGAGATGGTTTCGTGGCCTAGTTGAGGCCGGACTCGGGATGACAACACAAACAAAACGTCTACAGCCAGCGTCGTCAGAATCCCCACATCACACCACCCCTGCCACTTCTGCAGGGCGCTTACCTGCTGGAAGGGTTAGTGACACAGGGAGAGTGTCTTGAAGGTGTTTCCGCAGGTACAGTACTTAAAAAGAGGACCGAATGTCCTCCGCTCAACAAACGGTACGGGGATTTATTTCGCCTCGTCTCTTGCTCTTCCACCATTTCCTCTTGAAACGAGAGCTGCTACTGCACCCCAGTGCTCCGAGTGTGAAATACAGGGATATCCGGCGTCCCTAAGTGTTATAAGGGGCCTGCAATGCCCCCTCGTGGCAACACTCGGGATATTCATCACATTGATGTCCTTTAACACGCAGGTTTTCGCGACCGATATTCATAATACAGTACATGGGGTTTTTTTGGGTTAAGATTCGACACCGCCTGGTATTTCCAGACAGTCTTCCATTCAAGTACTTACCTCGTTCAACCAAAAGCTTCCAATATTGGAGATCGAGTATAGTCGTGGTGATTTGGAGATTTCTCCCTGCAGTGTGTGAGACATCCCCAATACACCTACCCATTAAAAAAAAACTAATAAAATGTGATTTGTATGCATATTACCGTTATTGGTAATTTATTCTTTGACATTTTCAATTTTTTTCTCCATGACAGAAATTGGTTTTCATTCGGCCTAATCCCAGTGAATGGCACCCCTTAACTAATTCATCAATCCATTAGAAAGAGGTGACACTTCGTATCTGGAGTGTAGCCTTAGAGATGGGGCAGGCTTATGAGAAGTTGCAGACAGGATGCAGTGCACTTTCATAATTTAACACCGTAAAATGTATTTCGCAATATTACCAAGGTGCAACATCACATCGAAATACGAGAATGGTGGAAGAATACCATATCGTACGATTATTATGATTTGATATATAACACAATGGCATTCAAAAGATGTGTAAGCTATGCCAAAATTATGTAGCATTATTAATGCGCAATGTACACTGGTAATCTGGCCTGGTGGCTCCGCGGTAGATTAACAAGCTTACTAACACAAGCTTACTAACACAAGCTTACTAACCACAAGACTGTGAGTTAAAATCCTGGTTGAGTGTTACATTAACACATCATATCTCTGATGATAAATGACTTCCGCTTTGTGGGGAAGCCAACAGTTACATGTTTAGCTTCATAATTAGAATGCTTACTGTTTGAGATACACAGGGGGAAGTGCTGTTGTTTTTATCCAAAATAACCAATAACCAATTGATTGGCACCCCTCACAAACATTTACGGCCTTCGGCCAGGAAAGTCACAAAAAATTCACACGAACGACGCATTCATGCAAGCACCCGATGCTCCGTTTTGAAATGAAACATCTAAGAATTGTATTATGTTTTGAATTCGATAATTTTATTTCTTAATTAAAAACTGATATCATTTTACATCTGGAAGACTTAATTGAAAAGGACATTTCGTGTGCTTTTTCTTTCGTGTTTAAGTAGATGGCCTTGCTGGGGGTTCGGTTCGATGCGAACTTTCACCTGTTTGAGATTGCGGGATCGAGATGAGGCGACACAGAGCTGGCCGTGCGAGAAGACCGCCGTCTGCAGATCGATTCCAACATAATCAAACGTCTGTCCTTGCGCCTCCGTCGTTCATGCAGGGGGCGCGTAGGTTTGCAGCGCCCCCTGCATGAAAACGACGGAAAGTGCAGCGTTCATCACAGATAAAGTTGTGCGCTTATATAAGAGTATTAGGGGAGTGACCTTTGAGAACATGTATTATGCAATAACAACCTCTGGGCAATAATACAAAATCTGGAATTGGTTATATAACCTATTGCCTAAAATACATTTGTAAATAATTAAATCACAGGTCATTTTAAAGCAAAGTTTTCAGCCTGTCATTGTGCCTTCTTAAACCCACAGGCATCACTTGGTGGTGTAGGAGTCAAATTGTCCAATTTTATACGAAATATGTTTGTGACAAGGATGATGCCCAAATGGCTGAATTATGATGCTGACAGTTCAGGCTAGATCTGAATCCCCTCCACTGGGTCCTGCAGTTTCCTTCGGCACCATCTCCAGCTCCTCCTCCTTTCCCCACTCCTGCTCTGGCTCCAGTGGCATCAGCGTGCTCACAACAAACAGGCTTAGTGGTTCCCCAATGATGCCCACCCTGCAGGCACAGAAGATGGAAGGAACCAAAATGTTGCATCATGGATAAGTAGCTGAATAAACATGACAGAGAAATCGTGCATTACACGAGTCTATTTGTGTTTACCCTAAATAATGATAATGAGTGACTCAAGTGTGAGTCCTGAGCAGGCACTTCTGAAATCTTGGATTGAAATATGGGTAGTCACCTGTGATAAAAGCAGGATCTCAAGTGTCACTAATAGCTCTACATAAAAAAAATCATTCACAATAGAGGTGCTTATTCACTTAATCTTAAAAAACTCCTACTCTGAGATTATATATACATATAAACATATAAACCATACTCTCTAGTAGGGCATGTGAGAAAGTGTGCTGCTCGCGTGACAATAAAAATGTAATTTAAAAGGATCTCAAAAGTACTGTAGTTTGATTAACTTTTCTTTTGCGGGCAATTCCCTTAACACATGGGGTGTGCACTGCTCTGCAAGAGCTCCAACTGCATAATTTATGCCACTTGGAATAAATTTGGGAAAAATATAATAAAAAAGAATGTCATCACACTTAACCAGAGAAGACTCATGCATAGGGTTTATCGCTTAAAAGGTTTAGCACTAGAGCTTACTGACATCCATGCAGTTGAGACTCATTATGAGGTATGTAAATATAGGAAATGGTCCAACTATAATACTATGAACTATGATATAAGCATTGTGAAATAATAACATACTTAATTTCTGGGCATTCCTCTGCAGCGGGTTTTGTGCTGATCCCTGGAGCTGTTGCAGGGAGTGTAGAGGTATGGACAGGCAAGCGGAGTGGCTTGAATAGGTAGAGGGACTCCTCTTTGGGTGTCGGTAGGAGAGAGACCAATGCGGGAGATCGCTGGGTCACAACGCTCATTATGGCCGGACGTTTTGGGTACATTTTTCTGAAAGAATAAGACGAACAATGGTAAAAGGTCAATTATGTTTGCATATGCTTAACCTATTTTTAAAACATTAATTATAATGCTGCACATACTGTATACAAAGTTTAAAATATTCACCCGTAATATTCTTTGTGGTTACTGTGATATCATATACTGTATGCATCATACTTAATCTTAAAACAGGAATCAATTAAGATAACTTAAAATATACGTACAGATTATAAATCATGTAAACTGTCTTTTCTTGAACAATCACTTTTCATATATAATAGCTACCCATATTATTACATCAAAGCTGATTGGTTGGAAGCCAGAAGCTGTGCACCTGAATTCTGCCTGTGTAATTCTTCTCCTGCCCTCAGGCCCTGCATTGCCAACTTCCTCTTCCTCCTCCAGGTCATCCTCACGTGTCCTCGGGGCTAAGTTGAAGGCATCTGAGCGAAGCAGCCGGCTCAGCTCCTGCTCAATGAGTTCTAGGTCTTGCCGTCGAAAGGTCACCCAGGATGCCAAGATGCACAGCTCGTACAGGTACTGTGTGGTGGTCACAAGCATGCACACATTTTAGGAAATCCAGCTTTAAATATTGTCATTATAAACACAGTTTTTTTTAGCTGCCTGACATATAATGTATATGTTAGACAAGCCTAAACCCAGCAAATAAAAATACTTCATAAATGTTCAGTGCTTATCATAAGTGTGCAGTGCTTATAGGAAACTTCTGTAGATATTCCTTTACATTGCTACTTGTTTTACATTACATACTAACTTCACAGGCAGTTCTTTCGAAGTACAGTAATGTGTCACTGACAGTGTAAGAAAAATAAAAATGGTAATCCTGACCTCATACATGTTTCTGTCACTATGTGTTGAAGAAGTTTTTTTCCTGCAAAATATTTAATAGACAAAGGAAGTTTTTTTTTTAATATATACATTCATGCAACGATTGCTTCAACTATTGTATATCTCGAACATTTACATTTAGTCTTATTTAATTTTGCCACTCCATCATTTTCAGCTGGCAACTCTTGAGGTTTATTATCTTAGGGTAATATCAAAAGTAATATTGCTTAAGTGCTATATTCAATTATTACATTTACAGTATTAATGTGGCACGCATCCTATGAGGTAGTTTAAAAAGTGCATGTGAAGCTCATACAAATAGATCCAAATTATGTTTTATCCTTCCCTTTGAAATCAATATATAACTCTACATCATTGTCTTTGGTTCTTTCGGTAAAGTCACGTAGAAAAATAATAATAGATCACGACGTTTCGATCGCCACACAAGCGACCGTCCTCAGGTGGGATCCCAACTTTACCGAAAGAACCAAAGAGTATGGATTCCTGCAGTCATGAAAGCTTCAAATCAAGATTCAATATCATTGGTTAAAGCTGATAGAAAGGAGGCACCAAAATGGCAGGGCGCGGAAGGGCAGTTAGCATCCATGTACAAGGTTAAGTCATGCTTATGGCATATACATTTCCCCAGCATTCCCCCTATGTACCATGAAGGGTCATAGGGGAACTAATTCCCCCATACTTGAATCACTGCTCAATGGCACTGATAAGAAGAAAATATTTTTTAGAATGCCACGATGATTTTCTTTCACAAGGAGCAGAGCACAATGTCTTATTTTTTTTTACAATTTGAGTCAAAAATGAAAAATAAGTCTTGTTTGATAATTAAGCGGACTCATTCAGAATATCAAGCTTCTACAGAGATACAACCACAGGCTTGGTGCGAGGCTCACGAGCCACAGGCCATGTGGTGGTGCCGCTGGAGGCCGATGCCCAGCAGCAGCACGCAGTAGGTGCACGCCACGTGTTGGTGAGCACGCGCCACAGCCTCCAGCACCTCCGCCAGCTCGCGCTGCTCCGACGCACTTGGCTCCCTGTGGCACACACCAACAGCGTAAACAAAGACACCAGACACAGTGAAATGTAATTTACACGTGGAGTTCAGACATAGTGCACACACACACGCACACAACAATGCAGATTTACACATATATAATTATGTATTGTGAAAGTGAAAATCATTAGTCAGATATATAATGTACGTATGTGGGTTGATAGTACATTATATTTACGGCACCATTGATGACTTTGCAAATACACTGAGCAGTTTATTGAATGGGTCTGGAATAAATACGAGCGGACAGCCCAATGTACATGTTCTGTCTCATGCAGTTAGCATTCCTGAAATTCGTTATGTTTGAATTATACGTGACTTATGCATGCTAATACACATTATATGCCACTCAACGAATGAAATGTAATTTATCTGAGTGTTTATCGAGATTCAGTGTAATGTAATGAGCTACGTACGCCATCAGGGGTTTTGGTCGTTTTTCAAGTGCAATTTTGACAAAGAAACATGACATGTAGCTTAGAAGAGATTTCAAAAAATCATCAAACTGCTGGGTCCTGCAACAACAACAACAAAAAATAAACAAATGATATATTAAAAAAACTGTGCTGTATAATTCATTGAATATAAAAGTTTCAAAGTTATCTAGTTTTTCATGAATATGTAATGACTATAGTGCCTGCATGCGGTGTGAGGGATTAGTGGCCACGGGAGGTAATGACAGGGAAGTCAGCTTACAGTACGATTGCACTAGTGGCCACGGGAGGTAATGACAGGGGAGTCAGTTGGGAATGCGAAGGGACTGGTGGCTATGGGAATGTTCGAGAAGAGAGCGTGGTCACGTGACGGAAGAGGACTGTTCTGCCCCACGGCAGGGGTTTTGCCTCACGGCAGATGGGGGGGGGGGCGGTATGTACACAGGAATTTCCTGTTTTTGATGCTAATTTTGGTCACGTGACTAGGAAGTTGCGATTTAAGATTCCCGTTCAACCACGCGGGCGTCGGCCATTACACACATAATTCAAGGTGGCGGTACACATCGCGTCCCAATGAAGCCAGCCGCAATTGTCCATTGTGGGACTTTAAGAAGCATTGTCTGTAAGTTCGTTGATGTTCTTATATTGGCAATGTTGTTATAATGTTAGAATGACCGTTATAATGATGTAAATGCCTTTATAATGCTGTTAAATTGTTATGATAAATATGAGGCCTAGTTAACAATGAAGCCTGCTACTTTCCTTATTGTGAATGTTACTTGTAATTTAATAAGTCGAGTCAAACTTGTACCCAAGTAACTATATTGCGATCCTGAGAGCAAGGATGACGAAATATCTCATCCACAATTTAGTGCTATGTGTAATACTGTACATTTGGGGTGCAGTGTGATGAATACACGATGTGCCTTCATGTAACACAGCAGCTTATGCTCTTGTATAGTTATTCAGTGGTAATGTAGGGGCCTGGTCTATCCAGGATCTATTGTTTAGAAACATGTTATCTAAGACAATGTTATGATGCTGTGGTGTTCATTCATTGTTGGTGTTTCCGGGTATTAACAGATGCTGTATCTGTGCTGTTTTCTTACCAGTTTTACCTCGTTAAATTCAATAAATGACGTTTTGGAGTCGGATGTTCACCCTGGCTCCGAGGGTTTATTGGACGCGAGGTTAACTACTCAGCTAGCGGTGCAACGCAGCGCACAGTGAGGCCAAGACAAGGACGGTCGAGTCTGCCGGTGGAGCGAGCATCCAGAGTCAGCGAGAATGATCGAGAAGGGCGGTGTGGCCTCGTGTTGATTTATAAGGGAGATGCGCGGGAGACTCGGCTATTGCAGTGGGGGTCTCCGCCTGATGTCAAGTAAACGTTTCTTCAATAAAGTGCCATCTCAAGAGAAGTGTGTCAAGTCGTCATTACAAATGTATAAAACAAATACTTTTAACACTTACAATGGTATTCATACTTACATTATCATATCCACAAACGAAGGTGACAACTGGGCTTCAATAGTTTCTTCCAAAGTGCTGAGTGCAACATCTAGGAGCAGAGAATTGATTTATAGATAATTTACAAATCCCTCAAAAGTAATGTAGAGTATCGCGGTGCACATCGTCAAGAACCATGGCGCAACAAATAAAAGAAGCTAAGCTGGCGTGTTATCCCCACATTTCACATGGTGCATTGTAACAGTGTCAGACTCCTGCTGGGACGCGGGCTGCAGGGAGCCACCACCAGGGCGCCACCCAGTCGAGCTGCTCACACTTCCTTCATACGTCGATGCCCTGTGGAGACATGACAACATGGCAGTGACATCATGCTTCACCAAGAATCTTGATAAGTTAATCCACCCACAATCGTTTATAACTTTAACAAAAATAGCATTATGGAAATAGGTTGTCCTATGCAAAAACTGGTGCTTGCCAGAGGAATGTTGAATAACATCATCAGCCCAATGATCCGATCGAAATTCCTAATTTCGATCGGATCATTGGGGTTTATTAGTAATAAATCGGCATTTTGCGACCCCCACTGCCACTGTGTAGCATATTATTATGTGCCAGGGACTCTATGAGATGATTGGACAATAGTCTGAGTCCATAATTGGCAATAAGTAACGGCAAAGCAGTTATAAGTGACTCCCAGAATTGAGCGTAGTTGCGTATACAGCGCACGACTTCCCTAAAGGCAAACACCTTCAGCGAGCGCGATGCCGATCACACGACGCGGTTCGAATTCGACCCTCGATCGATGGCTGCGCCATCGCCGCACACACGTCGAATAAAAAGCAAGGGACAAGTCCTTACTTACTAACAACTCTTATAATTTTTCACTGCTGGAGGGGATGCCCCCCCTACCTGAAAATCCTGGCTCCGCCATTGCCAATGGAGATGTATGTTTAACTTCTTTCGCACCGTATATAGCCAACCGCGCTAATCGGAGGTGCGGATGTGAACTTCTCAGTATTCTTCTATAGAAGACATAAACTTCTTCTCTTGAGAGCTCTGCTACAGATCTGCCCCTTGACCCTGAGCATCTTCTATGAATTGAAATGAAAACAATTAAAACATACATCCTGATATAATTACACTGCTGGATGAGGGCCTCCCCATGATGTTAATAGTTCAATGCACTAAACACTAGGCAGCTGCTTTAATCCTCTCTATGGATATGCGTCTCTAACATGGACAGAAGTGACCCTTAAATCTTGACTTAAAGCTTTCGTGACTGCAGGAATTAATATTCTTTAGATCTATAGAAGACATAAACCAAATAATACGAAGTGACCCTTCTCACCTGTCGCTGTGCCTCACCCCAACCTCTCGCAGCAGAAGCCCCTTGTGCCTCTTCTTCCTCTCTTTCCCGTCTGGTGATGCGAAAGCACTGCCAGCACAAACCTCAAGTAAGCAATGGGAACATCTCAAACTTTACTTAAAGCTTTCGTGATTGCAGGAATTCATATTCTTGGGTCTTTCGGTAAAGCCACGTAGACAGAAAAAAATAAAAAATATATAGACGTTTCGATCGCAACACAAGCGGTCGTCTTCAGGAAAAGGGGGTTATCTTCTAAAGACAACTGCTTATAAAGGTTTGAAATGGACATAGCCCAAATGCCAGCAGCCAATGCCAATGAAAGTGGTGGGCAGCATCCGCGGCGGTGGTGGGCTTTCCACCAATCAGAAGGCTGCCAGGCAAAAATTAGCATGTCGATGCAAGATCGCCGAGCCTTCTACACGGCGAGTGCGCCAAGGTGGTTATGTTAATGTGAGAGATTAGCATGTTAATCGGAGATCGCCGAGCATCCTCCATAGCAAGCTTGCCAAGGTGACTATGTTAATGTAAGAGATTAGCAAGTTAATGGGGGATCGTGAAGCAGCTGCCTCGAGGATGGCGCGCGAGGTAGCTGTGTTAGTGAGACATTTAATCTGTTAATGTAAAAAATCAGAGAGCCGAAAATAACAACTTACATTGGAAGGTGGTAGGCTGGGAACATCACAGCCAGTTATGACTTAAACTGGTTAATCACATCCTTCCAATGATTGCTCAGTTTGTACCCATCTTCTCGGTTGAAAACGTGCCCGTGTTTTAATATATCTGGATAACTTCATTAACAAATCTTTGTTGATAGCCAGGGGGTTTGCAGAGTACCTTCGTCTTGGAGAAATCAATTTCGTGTGTGCCCACAGCATTAAAACAATGATCAGCCAGGGCTGAGGTATTGGTCCTTATAAACATTTAAAGTGAAGATAAGTTGGCCATAAGTGACACAGGGTACAGAGCAGGGGCGGTTTCTTCATTAGGGCGATTGGGCGACGCACCACCAATGTCATTGAACCACAGAGTCACGCTCGCCGTCACTGTGCCTCTGGATATAGTCCAATTAGCGTCATGTCACGTTCTGTGGAGTACCGCCTCTTTTTGGGCGATTTCCCTCCAGCTGAGAATCGCCCCGAGTGGCCCCATAGACTTAAATTCAAAGATGTTTTTTTTCGACCGGGGGGCGCTGCAATGCATTCTCTATGGCTTCCGGGAGGGCTCGCCTTAATGTGCTTACGTCATCATACGTGCTTACGTCATCATACGTAAGCACGTTTCATCCAACAATATAATTTGTCGCCACCTAGTGGTTTGTTTTAATAGGTTGTATAGAAACAAACAAGATGTATTGTAAGAGTCACTTTATTTTTCATTAATATTAAAGAAGTGAAGTTGCCTTTACATGCTTAAGCTGTTAATTTATCCATTGCATGGGTGGACCTTATCCTTATCAATCATCCAGACATTTGCCCCCCCTGAGAGATTTTGCAGGAGCCGCCACTGGTACAGAGAAGACACGATTACAGGTAAGACCACGCTGCCAGATACCTCACGAACTCCAGAGACTTTGTCTCATCCCTCCAGCACCAGCGTCCAGGAGCACACATTGGGGGCTGCAAACACAGTCCAATAAATCCATCAATCAACACATTTACACATCTACACTCACACTACTGGACCACACATGGAATGTACGTGTACCATCTCGTTGTCAATCTACTGCTGAATGTTTTGTGCCTGTGCTCAGCAACAGTTTTAAATAACTAGAATTTCAGTGGCCTATGGCCACCTTATTCTAGCTCGTGCAGAGGGCTTCTCAGCGCTTTCGCACCTCGACAGTCGCCCCCACTGATGTCCTCTTCCCCAACCCCCCATGTGTAGTAGATACTACTGACTCTATTGTATGTAGGGGGTGTAGTAGATACTACTGACTCTATTGTGTGTAGGGTGTGTAGTAGATACTACTTACTCTATTGTGTGTAGGGTGTGTAGTAGATACTACTGACTCTATTGTGTGTAGGGTGTGTAGTAGATACTACTGACTCTATTGTGTGTAGGGTGTGTAGTAGATACTACTGACTCTATAGTATGTAGGGTGTGTAGTAGATACTACTGACTCTATTGTGTGTAGGGTGTGTAGTAGATACTACTGACTCTATTGTATGTAGGGTGTGTAGTAGATACTACTGACTCTATTGTGTGTAGGGTGTGTAGTAGATACTACTGACTCTATAGTATGTAGGGTGTGTAGTAGATACTACTGACTCTATTGTATGTAGGGTGTGTAGTAGATACTACTGACTCTATTGTGTGTAGGGTGTGTAGTAGATACTACTGACTCTATAGTATGTAGGGTGTGTAGTAGATACTACTGACTCTATAGTATGTAGGGTGTGTAGTAGATACTACTGACTCTATTGTGTGTAGGGTGTGTAGTAGATACTACTGACTCTATAGTATGTAGGGTGTGTAGTAGATACTACTGACTATTGTATGTAGGGTGTGTAGAAGATACTACTGACTCTATTGTATGTAGGGTGTGTAGTAGATACTACTGACTATTGTATGTAGGGTGTGTAGTAGATACTACTGACTCTATTGTATGTAGGGTGTGTAGTAGATACTACTAACTCTATTGTGTGTAGTAGATACTACTGACTCTATTGTATGTAGGGTGTGTAGTAGATACTACTGACTCTATTGTATGTAGGGTGTGTAGTAGATACTACTGACTCTATAGTATGTAGGGTGTGTAGTAGATACTACTGACTATTGTGTGTAGGGTGTGTAGTAGATACTACTGACTCTATTGTATGTAGGGTGTGTAGTAGATACTACTAACTCTATTGTGTGTAGTAGATACTACTGACTCTATTGTATGTAGGGTGTGTAGTAGATACTACTGACTCTATTGTATGTAGGGTGTGTAATAGATACTACTGACTCTACTGTATGTAGGGTGTGTAGTAGATACTACTGACTCTATAGTATGTAGGGTGTGTAGTAGATACTACTGACTATTGTGTGTAGGGTGTGTAGTAGATACTACTGACTCTATAGTATGTAGGGTGTGTAGTAGATACTACTATTGTATGTAGGGTGTATAATAGATACTACTGACTCTACTGTATGTAGGGTGTGTAGTAGATACTACTGACTCTATTGTATGTAGGGTGTGTAATAGATACTACTAACTCTATTGTATGTAGGGTGTGTAGTAGATACTACTGACTCTATTGTGTGTAGGGTGTGTAGTAGATACTAATGACTATTGTATGTAGGGTGTGTAGTAGATACTGACTCTATTGAATGTAGGGTGTGTAGTAGATACTACTAACTCTATTGTGTGTAGTAGATACTACTGACTCTATTGTATGTCGGGTGTGTAGTAGATACTACTGACTCTATTGTATGTAGGGTGTGAAGTAGATACTACTGACTCTATTGTATGTAGGGTGTGTAGTAGATACTACTGACTATTGTGTGTAGGGTGTGTAGTAGATAATGACTCTATTGTGTGTAGGGTGTGTAGTAGACACTACTGACTCTATTGTATGTAGGGTGTGTAGTAGATACTACTGACTCTATTGTATGTAGGTGTGTGTAGAAGATACTACTGACTATTGTATGTAGGGTGTGTAGTAGATACTACTAACTCTATTGTATGTAGGGTGTGTAGTAGATACTACTGACTCTACTGTGTGTAGGGTGTGTAGTAGATACTACTGACTCTATTGTATGCAGGATGTGTAGTAGATACTACTGACTCTATTGTATATAGGATGTGTAGTAGATACTACTGACACTATAGTATGTAGGGTGTGTAGTAGATACTACTGACTTTAATGTATGTAGAGTGTGTAGTAGATACTACTGAATCTATTGTGTGTAGGGTGTGTAGTAGATACAGTACTACTGACTATTGTATGTAGGGTGTGTAGTATCTACTGACTCTATTGTATGTAGGCATATGCCTTCAAAAGACATTTGTTTTTTGGGAGGTCAACAATTTTTGGAAGCCTGTTGAATCAACTTTTTACCCCCACAACTGGGGAGAGCACTTTCTATAACCTTTTCATTCAGGCCTCCTGAAAGGATCTTATACTGTAATTTGGGTGACAAACGAAACGCTGGGCTTTCATAATAGATGTGAAAAAAAGGTCACCGGACCAGATCCTGCACCAATAACAACTCCGACACGTTCGTAAATAACTCTGCATGTTAGAAAGAACGAGTATATAAGAGGCGACGTTTCGGGTGAATGACCCTTCCAGGAAGCAACACAAGTTGCGGCTGTTACTCACCTTCTTCACCTGCTCCATCACGCTGCCTCGATCCCAACCAAACTCGCTCCGACTGCAATCCCTTTAATCCGTTCGCTCACATTTGCGGGCGAAACATCTCTGCCTATCTCTCTCGCATCCCACGGGGCCTCGACAGCCAACAATCCCGTGTTGTTCACTCAACAATAGCAACAACGAACAACAATAAAACACAACCGTGAGCGTCGAATGTATATAACTAAAGAATATATATATCCGGCTCTTGTTGACACGGTCGTTCCCGGGCAACCGAGTAGCCTTGCGTCCTTCCGGAGGGCATCTCACTCTGATGCCCCAACCCCCTTCCCATTGTGACCGCTGCCACGTGAATTCCCAGATGGAAACTTGTTAAAGTTCGCTCCTATCAGCTGTAGAGGGCATTTATCTGATTTGAAGCACGTATCAGCGGGCTTGTATTTACCTTGGTTTACGACCGTTCCAATCTCAGTTTTGTTAATTGTGCAAGACGTTAGCCATTAAAGATCCTGTGCTCGTTGTCTGCAATGTCGATGCCGTCTTTGTGTTTGTTGTGCTCCAGCACCACGGGACCTCCCTTGTAAAATAGTCGGGCAACTTGGTTGATCGGGATTGTCCGTAACAACTCAAATAAACCCAAGTCTGGTACGTACTACAATATACACTGGAGTGATTAAAACAAACACAACTGTATATCAACAGAGTAATATAATGCAAGGTGTATATAGTTTTAGCATTGCTCCTTTTCTGTTAGTCTTAAAATGCTATCATTAAATACAGTAATGCTATACTGTAAATTACACTATTGAACGCCATCACCAACTGGTGGACTAGCTGGGGGCGAATTCGTAGAAGTTGAACAGATTATAGAGAGTGTATCGAAGTGACAAATGCTCGTTGTATGGAAGTGGGTTTTGCAAAAACAATTCTATAGCATCCACTATTTCACACAATACACGAGTTATTCCTGTTTAGGTACGTGGAGACATTTGTACAACGGAGCACTGCACATCTCCATGATATCATCTCTAGGAAATGTTTCCAATAAACACAACTTTCACTACTCATTATACACACCACACATTGCCATTGCAGACATCACACGCGCCTGTGTTTATCACACCCCTCCACCTACGATTAGCACCCACCACCTCTAATTATCACGGTTGGCTGCGTACAATCCGAAAGAAGTTCAACATGCTGTACATACAAATGCAAGTAGAATTCTACGTCAACATCAATCCCAGTGATATGTCCACAATCACGATGAATGATTACACTTCACAATTGGATAGTGTAACTTGTATGAATTTAATCTGACCATTCCAGTTTCAAAACAACGTGCATCACATTTTGCATGTCAAATATTGACAATCGTGACAGAAATCATAAAAGTGCATCGATCCTAATACTGTAATGGATCACAGATTGAAATGAATACCCATTTTGGCTGGAATAAAATCTACAGTATTCCACAATCCATCTACTCAAGTGTTTTTTCTTTAAAGACATATTTCAAAATGTGCAAGAGATTGAAAAACTTTGCTCAGTGTAATGATATGCAAATTGACCATGAGATATGTAAATCAAATACTTCATTCAAAAATAGGAACATATTTGCCACTATTCTCATAAACTTAGAAGCTTCACTATTCACGCAATTATACAATTACAGATGGCATTCTATGGCTATAACTGAAATTCTGTTAATTTCGTAAACATGCACTGCTAGGTTTAAAGGCAGATCACACACCATTGATAAGTCATTAGTTTAGTGGTAACCTTTAGATGACGTCATAGCCCATAGATTTATTGCTCAAATTTAAATCATAAATGAAGCATGAACATTTGGTTTGTAACTTTGTAAAAATAAATCACTGCTTTGCATCAGAGAACTGTATTACGGCATATTCTCCTGACACCATCCAGTCAGGGTCTGCAGCAGTGAGCGTTTCAGCCATCCCAGGCTGCAGACCAACCTGCAAGTCTGCCTTCAGTGCACGCAGACTGCAAAGCGCTGATGGATGGAACCCCTGCAAAGCCGTCTCAAATGCTGTTGTGTGATCCCATTGCCGATCCCCTGTTAGTTTGCGATAGTTGAGGTCGCCTTTGAAAAGGATGAGGTTGGATCGCTGTAGCTCCGCGTACAAGTCTGGTGCGATGGCCTCCATGCTGCAGTACTCGTGCGGCAATGTCCAAAACATGTGGTCATGGTATACCCAAGAGCCATCCTTCAGATGACTACGCCATGCAGCTCCTAGCTTGGAAGACCAACGGTGATTGCTTGCCATCAAGAGGTGGACAGTAAAATTTACGTCTTCTTTGGTGACATCAGAAATGAACCATGGCATACACTTCCCATGAAAGTGTATTTGATCCACAAGTTTGGAAGCTAACAAAAATTCTGCCAATACTAAATCAGTGAAAAGCTCAAAGCCTGCATTATCCAAAACAATGTCTAGCCTAAAGCATTGTGTGCTGCTTGGGTTCTTTTTGAGTTTATCTTCTAGTGTGGCCCACACAGCTTCTGTGTCATCAATAAGGATTTTGGCCTTCAGATCGTTTAAGCCAGTCAGTGGGCTTGCTTTTTGGGGGTTGTCTCTTCCAGCCGATATTGAGAGGTCACACTTGTTGCCCCACAAGCAAACCTAGAAATAAAACATCCAAATGTATTAACACATGTTTACAAATTTACACATGGACTCAACTGTCAATATGTACTGCTATATATAAAACATATACATTAATAATTACGCTCAGATTACGCAGTTTTGTTTTTAAAATAAAAATTGCAACAGACCTGCAGTAGTTGTTGAAATTCTTTCTTCACTTCATCCTTATTCAATCCAGATATTTTATTTAGAACTTCACCAAGATGATCACATAATGAAATGATTGCTTTCTGAGAATCAAAAAAGCTCTTCTCTTTGAGCTCACTGAATACATCATGATCATTGAGCGGTGGGCTGTGAAGAAAATATATTTTCACGTTTACAAATCACATGAAATGTCATGCTAATGCACTTTTTAAAAATCAGAATCATGCTTAAGATTTTGCTCAAGTTAAAATCCTTACCAAAGTGCCACGGCTTCTTGAACTCTGCGGTACATGTAGCACTCCACGTAAAGCCATGCCGAGGTAAACCAGCTAGGCATTGCTGTGAGGGACCGTTGTGCCTCTAGGTATGCATTCCACTCGCCCACATCAGGTCGCCCATCGGTCAAGGGTGTAATAGGCTTGTCTGTAAGAAGCTCGTTACGTAGTTTGGAAAGAAGTGATATGATCTTCTTGTCGGCCTCGCTTCCTTCCTACCAGAGAAAACATTATACCAATGATGCATAGAGGGCATTTGATTCAAAAGATTAACCATGTCTAATATGCCAATGTATACATGGCATTTGTAAAACCAAGGTATACTTCTAAAATGTGTGGAAATACACCAGAGTAAAACTGTTTTGGTACATTTTATATGTTATTCAGTTATAAGTTTTATATAAAATGTCAAATTATTTGAAAATTATAATAGGTTTAACCTCCGGTCGCTTCTTTAATCTGTTTAAAAAAATGTGAACGTTCGTGCATTATTGCCTAATATGCAGTTTACAGTGAATTACCCCGTGACATATTGTTGCGTAAAGCAGACTTTGACCTCGGTCACCATGTGATGCCCTCGGGACTCAATATAATGACATGAAATTGCTGTTTTAGACTGTAGATTAATTAAAAACTAATCACCGTGGCAATACCAAGAAACACTAGTGGCAACACATGGACAAAAAAACACACTGCTCATACAACACCTCGCCATGCTTCTCATGGAACTTCGCGCGGCTCCGATGGAGTCTGTCGATAATTTGCGTGAGGATTTTGGGCAGGCGGTCCTTCACAGTGAGATACGCGAAGGATCTGCGAGAGCCGGCACAATTCACACACATACGATCACTTAACAACGCTGCTCGTTATCGTTGTTGCGGCAAATAAAAGTTAACGCGTTGAGTCATGGCCAGTGAGGAAGGCACTGGGAGTCTCCCGTGTGACGTGGGCCCCCTGCATCTTAGCCGTGAAGCTCCAAGGCCCAGAGGCCATGTCAGGACCTCCTCTCCCGCCCACCGCCACCTCACTACCAGCGCACGGGCAGCACAAGAAGCAAACCTGTTTTAAAAAAATGACGGTGATCCTTGCTCCAATGAGCTGTGGAGGTATTACAAACATGTAGTGGCAAGTGTGGCACCACGCCCAGTGTCAGTGTAATCCATCGTTGGGAGTAAAACCATCGTGGCTGGGATCATTATCACTGCACACTAATAGTTTTCGCACATACACAGCAACGCACAAATACACACACAAAAGACACAGCCAAAGACCGCGATACTAAAATGATCCGCTGTACAGCCTTAATAGGGTTGTGGCGAGTGTTGTGAGCAATAACTTAGACCACACACGTTTAAAAACACACGCGTGTATACACACGTCCACACAGGCTACACACATACACGTGTAGACAGACATGAGTACAGTATACACACAAACGCTTGCGTACACATACGTGCGCGCACCCTAGTGCAGTGTACACACACAAGTGCACGCACGATGAAGCCACTGGAAGCAATGCACTTTTAAATTTACAGGGTGGCCTATAATTCTGAAATCATGATAGGAAAATAACTCATCCATATTTTTTTTGTTTCTGCAGGTCCAATATGCCTCCGAGTAAGGAAGAAGGAGTCCAGATAATTATTCGATGTTGAATTTTAACAGACTGCATGCAGACCCGAGCCAATACCACAGAGCTGTCTTGTTCCTATGATTCAAGACTTATGGGGCATCCTGTCGGTCGTAAACTCATCTCTTTAGAACTGCTCTTTAGTGTTTAGTTCGTCGTCCTTCTCACGCGCCTCCCGATTAGCAACGGGTGGCTCTGTCGTACGGCGCGAAAGACGTTCAACACACGGCAGCATATACAGTACAACAAATATAAAGACAAAGATCCCCCGTATAGCCTCAAGACTGTAGGTGCAAGTGCTGTTAGCGAGCACCTATGAAGACCGGAACGGTGCACGAGGGGGGGGGGGGGTGTGTGGCCAGCACAACACCCGACCGCCTTTGTTTCCCCCAGGGGCGATGTTTACTGCACACCGCAACAGGTTACTAATTTGAGGCCGAGTCGACCTAGGGGATGCCCAGGACCGGTTGCAAATAATCGTCACCGGTGTTGGTCGTGAGCGGGGAATCGCCGGGTTCGTAGCGCAGCACGCTGACCGCGACACTACCGCTCCCTACAATGTACACAACATCAACAACCACCGCCATTCGCCACTAAGTGGCGGTGACGTCACCACGACGCTTGTGCCAGGCCAAGTGCACCTTGAGGCCACGTGAAGTGTCGAACGCCCGCTGGCAGGAGGTCACGGGTCAGACCCAGCAGGTGCCACAGGTCGACTGACTGAGATGACCGAGATGACTGGCTGATGCACCACCTGTGCCCCCTACTGTGCCAACACAACATCTACAACACAAACCAGGTGCACGCGTTGTGGGTGGCGAGGGGGGACCACACGAACCCGACGCGCGCAGCTGAGAGCGGATCGGGAAGCGCCTCCATGGTCCCAGCTGGATGTGTGGAGAGGGGAGGGGTTGGCGGGAGATTTCCGCTTCCGGGTCACGCGCGCGAGCCCACGTGACCGCGCCTGCTTCCCCCACGCTCGCCCCGCCCCCCCACGCTCGCCCCGCCCCCCCCACGTTCGCCCCGCCCCCCCCACGCTCGCCCCGCCCCCACGCTCGCGTGCGCGCCACGTGACCCAACAGCTTTGTTCAGAATGTTGAGGCTGCAGGAGGAAATCCGATGAGCTATGAAGCTTTTTGTTTTTACAGATGTCCGGTCGGGGCGGGTCCGAACGTTATGACAAACAATAAAAAAACACTATAGGAGTGTAAAGTATAGGAAAGGTCAACTAATTATGAAAAAATATAAACAAATAAAACTAGATAATGTTTTACTTACCAGCTCTTATCATAATTAGATTATTTATTTACACTGGAGGAATTCTATGAGCTATAAAGCTTTTTTTTTTACAGATGTCCGGTCGGGGCTGGTCAGAACGTTATAACAACAAATAATACAAAAAACACGATAGGAATGTAATGTTTAGGAAAGGCAAACTAATCACTTCAAAAACATAAAAATAAAACGAAACGTTTTAAAAAATGTTACCAAGTACATCACACTGAGCAATTAACTTATGTTTCAGAAGCGACCTCATCGGAAATTATAGCTAAACAAAGTGGTTTATCATGTGGAAATTTATAGCAGAAAAATAATGTTAATTATATAAATGCAGGTTTCTATTCGGAGAGTGAGCAGACACCTATTCGTGGATGGGATTATATGTCACTATTACGAATCGTAATAATTTATTTTACGTTTAGATATTAAAAATTCGGGGCGTTTATTTCGTACAGGTAAAATGTATCAAAGTGAAACAATAAGACTGACTCTACAGTACAAACTATATAATAGGAACAGAAATGTAATCATGGTATCGCAATCGCAGAAGAGGAAAAACCATGCTTACCGCATGGCCCATGCAACATACGGCTGCAGATTTGCATGCATTTGCCATACCACTTGATTTGCTGGAGGTTATGTCTCAAAGAGTTTTGGGCAAACTCTTTGACCAGATTGCCTAATCACCAGGGCGATTCCCTAATTGCAACGCGACTTTACGCTAAAGTTTCTTAATCTTGGATGTTTTTTTACAAGAGCTCTCGTGCTTATCCCATTATGAACAGGGGAGGCAATACTACTTGTTCATTAAAAAAAATGAACGCACACATTTGTCAGTTGCACTGCCTTTAAATGTTAAGTATGGTATATAATATGCAGCGTTTCTGCCAATGGGCCTTCTTCACAGAGCACATGCCAGAAATGTACTCTGAAGACGTTCCATTACCCAAAAGTCGCATATATTATACTGTCTACGTTGATTTTTTTAGGCCGCAGTGTTATTGACGAACTTGTTGAGTTTTTGTTTTGTTAACTGCTCCAATGCCAAAGCAGCAATATCATCACCAAATAATGCATTTGACCCATAAACGCTTTCAACCTCAGTTGGAAAGCGTTTAGGCCAATTTAGCTTACAAGATTTACATGAACGTAAAGCTAGGTAAAACTATTCCTCCAGATACTGATTATTATCCTCGATAAATGCTTTGTTGAAAGTGGCTGCATTTAAATGTAATGTACAGCCCTCATTCCATCCACTGCTGAGTGAAGGCCTCTTCTCACTACACATTTCAGTCATGGTGGTTGTTTGACCAGACTTCACGCTCGTCAATGTGGGCTGATGAAGAATGGAAGCCTAGACTTTGTACATGTCTTACAATACCCTCCACTAGCCTTAGCCACATAGTACTCTTTGGTTCTTTCGGTAAAGTCACGTAGGTATAAAATAAAATTAATCACGACGTTTCGATCGCAACACAAGCAATCATCATCAGATGGGAAAACCACAGCAAGAAATTCAAATCTAGATTTTAGCCACATAGCTTTGAATTGAGCTCAATTGATGGGTTCATAGCCACCATTCGAAAAGGACACCCCAGACCGCCGCATAGAGCGAGACAGCCTTTAAGCCCCACATACACGGAGCATCCGTGTCTCCCTGGACGTGATGCACGCACGTGCGTCAAGCTACACGTGAATCAAAGCGCACTCAGCTATACAGGGGAGAAATCCGCCCTCCGAGTTGCATGCAGCGAGCGTTAATAATTGTTAACCCGTGCATTGCGCCACGTGTGCGCGCCAATGCACATGCAGGAAGCGCACACAATTTTGTGCTATGAAATCAAACGTGCAGGTTTGATTCAAGGAGATAGGGCAATATGTATCAGAGCGCGGTGAGATTTGGGGAACACGCGGGGAAATGTTGGAGAAAGGGCATGTTGCTCACAGTGCATCAAAACAAGAGGCCAGATGCTCGAGTGTATTGAGCATTTCGCAATCGCTGCCATGGCTCCCCTACTTGTCACTCACCTCGCCACTTGCTGGCTGATTTACAATAAAATGCTTCTCACAAAGCAGTAAATGCCAAACAATGGACATTAAGTATCTTCAGGCCTGGGGTGCAATGATGACACTGGAGGGCCCCTCACGTTCCCAGGTGATGGAGTACACATCATACAACCATATCCCCAGTTGTACTACACATATAGGACGACAATCACAGTTTTGTCACTAGGAATATCTGGTAAAAACATTTTTTTTATTGAACCGAGATATGAATCTACAGACCTTATATGACCTCACCAGGCATTGCTTTCTTTTGTGATAAATACGTGACCAGTCGACCGCAATGTCCAAAGTGCCTCGTGCTGCAGATGTCAGACTTTCAAGCACTTCAACAACATGACTACTGTATAGTGTTTTTCAATTCCAACGCTCTTCTCAATTATATTACATTTGAAATGAATCTACAGCAATCTTTGCAACAAAAACAAACATGATGCAGCGGGTCCCTACTCCAACGAGCTTACATGAAAATTCGGTAGAACACTGCCCCAAAAACATTTAATAAGCATTAATGTCTCTTTCACACGTTCTGTGCTCCAAAGCAAATATATTACTCGAGGCCTCAGCCTCCAATGATTGTACTTCACAGGGTGACTTTGTTAGTTTACAATAACACACATGCATGTTGTACACTGAGTTGCTACTGAATTGGAAAAAATCAACCTCAAGTTTCTAAAACACCAACGCAATGCACACACTTGTTGCCTGGCATTCACACGTCTATTAAGCAATATACTATATATACACACAAATTGCCGTCAACAAAAATGTTCAGCGTTTGTAGAGGTAGGATTCTCAGATGGAAGAGGATTATCTTGAATGACAGTGGCTGTCATATAATGTGCACGAGAAGAGCCACCACTCAGAGTAATGGCACAGCAAGAAGGGTGGCTCTGGGCTCGGTTACGTCGCCATAATGCCACTGGACCTCAAGAGGTCAGGCAGGCCATACAGCCATAGGTAAACTTAAAACTGAGGGTAAACCACAGTGTAGATGGTAATATCGCCAGATGGCTTCAAGTGATTAAATTTAGGCTTTGCCATTTTAGGGTGATGCTTGTTTTTTGTATGCTGGTAATTCCCACAACATAACTCTGGTTTACCGGGAGGCATCTCAAAGGGTCTGCAGCCGGTTGCATTAAACTCCTATCGTGTAAATGTATCCTCGTTTGTCATTAAAAGCCTTATAAATCGGGGGGGGGGGGTAATTATGGAGAGATAAAAAACCACTTCGGATGTTTATGCAACAAACTAAATGTCCTATGCTTAGCTGTGTGTACGGTGGTTGGTTGCGTCAGTTACTTTGTGTGAAATTACCGATTCTTCCCTTCTCCCCCTCTACCTATTGTGGACTGCCTCTATATAACAACAATTTCCATTGTCTCTGCACAGCGTGTAACATTTAGATGCGGCGACATTTAGACGCGGTATGAATTCAAATAGTTGTATATACAGTACTCTAAACTTAGGGAAATATTTGTAAATGTGGTGACACGGACGGAAATGTATCGAGTGCATTGCATTTTCATGCAAAACACGAAGTGGTCAATTGCTGATACAGAGAACGCTTTCCCCAGCCAATTGATTCGCCACCATAACGTGGGTCTGCGGTACTCGTGGCTCGGTGGTAATTGTCACAACAGCATCGGCAGTAGCAACAAGATTTTACTGCAGTGCAGTCGATAATGGGGAGAAAGAAGTCATCGCTGGAACGGCGACACGTCGGGCTCCGTTGTGCAAATCCACTCTCAGCCCCAGCTGCCAGAGTCAGTTTCATTTATTTGGTATAGCCCTGTGAGCCATTCGGCTATTGAATCGGGTGCAACCGCAACAAACAAAAAACATGAACAAGAAAACATCTTAAAGTGACTATGTGCAAACAGAAATTCCAGGAAAATCCAGCAAAATATTCCAGAGCCCTGCAAGCCCCCTTCATGCTCCGGCCTCAATGCCCCCGTGTCTTCACCCGCTGAACCCATCCAAACCATCACCGCACGACCAATCATCCCGCCTACGACGTTCATCCTCCACGTGCAAGTAACTCAGTGCGGCACCGCCAATGTCGCCTCGTGTTCCCCCTTCTGCTCCATTCCTGCCGCAAGCCTTGATCCGGCTACCCCCCCATAACTACCCCCGTCTGGACCCCCAATTCTTCTCTGCACACTCAGCCACTGCTGCACACAAACATATCCGCTTCCTTCACGAACCCCAGCTGCACCACGACCCCCACTATCCCTCCTGCCCACCCCACCCCCACGCTCGCCACACTTCCATATCCGCTGCTCACTCAATAACCAAAACCCCCTCCTCCTTCATCCTCATCCTCCTCTAACCCGCCTGGAATTGCTCGCTCGCTCGCTTCGCTGCCTGCCTGCCTGCACATCTCCATGCCCGGCGGCGCCTGGCGGCCCCGTCGCACGGCTACGTGATAGAGGGGGAGGGTGGGGGTGGGGAGGGGTGGTGGGGAGGTGGGGGAGGTGGAGAGGGAGGGGTGGTGGGGGTGGAGAGGGGGAGAGGTGGTGGGGGTGGAGCGGGGAGGGGTGGTGGGGGAGCGGGGAGGGGTGGTGGGGAGCGGGGAGGGGTGGTGGGGGAGGAGGAGAGGGAGGGGTGGGGGAGGGG